TTAGTTTATCTGTTGATTAGGGCCAGAGGAAAGTATTGTTGGGTTGGTTACCTACCTACGTTTTCCCTCCCACCCACCCCTTGCATGCATCCCGGTTCGGTACAGTGCCACGTCAGCAGCGCCACGTCACAGTGCCAGATCAGCAGTGCCACGTCAGCAGTGCCACGTCACAGTGCCAGGTCACAGTGCCATGTCAGCAGTGCCACGTCACAGTGCCAGATCAGCAGTGCCAGCAGTGCCAGGTCACAGTGCCACGTCAGACTCAGTGCCACGTCAGACACAGTGCCACGTAAGCAGTGCCACATCAGCAGTGCCATGTCAGACACAGTGCCACATCAGCAGTGCCACGTCAGACACAGTGCAACGTCAGACAAAGTGCCACGTCAGCAACATGACGGGCCTGCCAGGCCAACTGGCCAATGAGCCCATTGTCGACTACAAAAAGCGTGTCCATGCTCAGCTCGCTGCACTCGAGGCTGAGGAACAACGCAGCTGGCAGTCAAGGCTGCACAGCTACAGGCTGATGAAGCGGCAACAGCAGAGAAGCTGCGGCTACAGGCCGAAGCAGACACAGATGCCCAGGCTCGCCGCAAGGAAGCCCAGGCTCTGCTGCAGCGGCATGAAGCCAGCAGCATTGAGAAACTCAAGTACTGGCATTTTGAACCAAACGGCGACGAGCCAACACCGGAAGAGCAGCATAAGGAGTTCATGGCCAAGCTCGTGAGCAGGTTGGTTTACACATGTAACCACCTACAGTCCGAGCTGGCAAACCTCCAGCGGGCCGTGCGGAAGCAAAAGACTCAGCACGAGGATGCCACACGGGCACTGGACGCCCGTGTACATGACTTGGAACAAGTTCCACCAAGACAAGATGCTGGAGCTTCCAGCAGTGCATCCTCTAGCCGCCAACTGGAGGAACGCGTTGACCACGTAGTGGCAATGCTCGGCGACATCAGCAACTTCGCTGCGCCGACCACCGTCAGCAGTCAGTTGCATACCTTGAAGACCGAGTTCCAGCAGATGCAGTCGACGAACGCGGATGATAATCCGAAGATGTACAAGATGCCAACTTTCCAACTGGACAAGTTCGACGACTACACACAGCAGGATCCGGTCCTCTGGTGGGAAGCATTCACAACGCAACTCAGGATTCTACCTGTCACCAAGCACGCGTACATCGGCACCCGGTTCCTGAACTCAAAGGGTGGATGCCAGACCTGGTTGAGCCACCTGGCAACCTCTCATGGCGTCGACGTACCGGACTTGAAGGATAAAATCACATGGGAGGAACTGACATGGCTGTGGAAGAAGCGGTTCATCGTCGACGACGCGCCGACTCTTGCCATCAACCGTCTGTTCACCATGTCACAGGGCAACACTGCAACACGGGATTGGCTCACGGAGTGGCAGAAGATTGTGGCGGTGCCCAATCTGGAATTGGCATTCACGCATCTACGCCGTGAGTCTTACAACAGGTCCTGTGCTGCATTGAGCCAGGCTCTTGGTGATCGTGAGCAGTACTCAACCTTTGCCGAGATTATTGACAAAGCAAGGGAGATCATCAAGACCAACAGGTCAGCTGCACACGAGAAGTCACCATGGCAGCCCACCTATGTGGTGAAGGTACGAACTGGTCCGCGACAGCAGCACTTCGCTGCAGTCCAGCAGGACAGTGGAGATAACCCAGCAGCCACTCCAGCATCAAGTGACGGAGATCAGGTGGCTGTTGTCCAGCCGCGAAGCAACAACAAGTCCCGCAACAATGGGAAGGCGAAATCCGCATTGCAGGTCGGAAATGGACAGCCAGTACAAGTTCCATGGGTCAAGTTTGGATTGACCGAGGCGGAGTACAAGGTCCGCGGCCGCTACAGCAACTGCTATTGGTGCAACAGCACCAAGCACAAGACCTCCCTGTGCCAAGATCAGGGCAAGGAGGATGTGCGACCCCGCCTCAGCTCGGGAAACTGAGCTCCACGGAAGGTGAGGCGACTCCACCTTCTACTCCGACAGATTCGGCCGCCTTGCTAGCGGCCTCCTACACATCTGGGGAGAACGCGAATGTCGCAGGTTCTCGTTACACTTACGAGGACTATGCTGTCCACTTGGTTCCACCGCTGGACCAACCGCTCCACGTGCAACAATCTACCTCATGCACGGTTTCAACACCATCGGCAACCGATTCGGCAGCTTCGCCGCCATCTATCGCCGGGGATTCATCGTCGTGGTCAAGACTTGAGGTGCTCGACCCATGGACGTTCACGGACTTCCAGTGGATGCCCGTTCCCCCGACCGGACGATTGCCGAAACCACATTGCAATGTGCTCATGGCACAACTGTGAGATTACTTGCACACTGCAGTACCAACTCCGTTGATGGACGCCGGAGTAGAGGTTGTCGACCTTCACGTTTACATCGCGAAGGTCGACCGTGAGTTCAAGACGCAACAGTACGACGACATCGACGCACCATTGCTATACGTACGCATTCAGATCGGAGAGGCGACCTGCAGTGTCTTGATCGATTGCGGAACATCTCGCAACTACATCATCCAGGACTTCATGGTACGCTCCGGCCTTGGCCCACGTGTCCGGAAGAAGTCCCAGCCTACGCAAGTCACATTGGCAGACGGTCATACGCACAAGTCAATCGACCGGTGCATTGACGCCGTCCCCGTGTACTTTGCCCCTCACGCAAGTGAGGCGGTGTCCTTTGATATTCTGGACACCAAATTTGACATGATTTTGGGCATGTCATGGCTGCGAAGCGAGGATCACCCGGTGAACTTCTTCAAACGCACCGTTCGCATTCGTGATCGGAATGGAGTATTAGTTCCATGCACGGTGCCCCTTCCTCATCCTTCGATCAGCTGCCACGTGGTATCCGCCGCAAGCATGCGAGCTTCCATCATCAGAGACGACATCGAGGAGATGGGGGTGTGTTTTCTCCACGCCCTCCCGCCCCATGACGCTTCATCGACGGACTCACCTTCGGATCCACGCATCACCGAACTTCTCGACGCCTACAGCGACGTGTTCGATGGCCCGCACGGAGTAGTACTGGATCGACCCATCCGCCACGAGATCATCCTCGAGGACGGGGCCGTACCTCCGCG